ATCTCTGTCTGAGGGATTGGAGCAAATGCAGTTGTATCTTAGAGCTTGGCTGTAGACAATGGATTGTGTGGTGTGTCCTGGATGGAAGCTGGAGGCATGTAGGTAAGTATAGCGGTCAGTGGGTTTCCGGTATAGGGTGGTGTTTATGTGACCATCGCTTATTAGCACAGTAGTGTCTAGGAAATGGACCGCTTGTGTGGATTGGTCTAGGCTGAGGTTGATGGTGGGATGGAAATTGTTAAAATCATTGTGGAATTCATCGAGGGCTTCTTTTCCATGGGTCCAGATGATGAAGATATCATCATGTAGCGCAAGTAGAGTAGGGGCTTTAGGGAACAAGAGCTAAGGAAGCGTTGTTCTAAGTCAGCCATAAAGATGTTGGCTTACTGTGGGGCCATGCGGGTACCCATAGCAGTGCCGCTGACTTGAAGGTATATATTGTCCCCAAATGTGAAATAGTTGTGGGTGAGGACAAAGTCACAAAGTTCAGTCACCAGGTTTGCCGTGATGGTATCGGGGATGCTATTCCTGATGGCTTGTAGTCCATCTTTGTGTGGAATGTTGGTGTAGAGGGATTCTACATCCATAGTGGCCAGGATGGTGTTTTCTGGAAGATCACTGATGGATTGTAGTTTCCTCAGGAAGTCAGTGGTGTCTCGAAGATAGCTGGGAGTGCTGGTAGCATAGGGCCTGAGGAGAGAGTCCACATAGCCAGACAATCCTGCTGTTAAGGTCTAAATATCTTCTGTCTGTGTGTTCCACTCTATGCATCTGAAGAAGTGAGCTGTACCCCATGAAAGCTTATGCTGAAATAAATTTGTTAGTCTCTAAGGTGCCACAAGTACTCCTGTTCTTTTTGCGGATACAGACTAACATGGCTGCTACTTTGAAATCTGTGTGCACAATGTTAATTTTGCAAAATTCTGCGTTGTGCAGTGGTGCAGAATTTCCTAAGGAGTATCTTTATACATACCAAGAAGCCATATGTATTCCCAAATTTTAGACTTGTACTGTCATGCAAAAAGTTAACTGTGATCTTGTATACTTTTGTATCAAAAGATCAGTGCATCTGATTGTTACCCTGTCCACGCATTTAGGAAGTTATTTTGTCTTAATGCTACTGATGTCCCCCTGTTAAGGAGTGCTCTCAGTATTCCTTTTTTTTATCTGATTGGTAGAAATGAAAGCCTCATGGGGTGTTGGGGTGTTCTGGACTATGTGAAAATGTCAATGTATTCAGGATGCCTTTCCCTTAACTTTCAATTTGCATAATTTTGAAGTTTTGGGTTGGTGTGGTGTGCCTTGTTGCTATCACTATATGAAGGTTTTGTTTATATTATTAAAAGAAAAGGACTGCCCATAAATATCAGACAAACCTCAGCTCACCCCTTTGCAGCATTCCTGGAAGATTAAAAAAATCCACGTGCAGACAGACCCAGATGCAGAACGTGAAGAGGATGACAGATTCTGGTAGTATGCTATAGAATATTATAAATGATCATGTGTAAAACAGTGAAGTTACTAGGATGTTATATATCACATTTTATTGTAATAAGTCACTGTATGCATTTTAAAATCACAGTTAGACATTTTTACCTGGCTTTCTCGCCACCTCTCACCATTTTGAGAAAATTGCCTCTTTGCTAAAAATGCAAATGTTGCACAAATGGTGAATTCTGATCTGTTTCCAAATGTGTTTGTGTGTAGTACATTTTTAAATACAGAATCTAAAATGTTGGTTTTATTGAGTTTTTGATACTTTAAATCGAGACTAAAATATGCTTAAAGTCAAAGATGCATCTTTTCAACTTGTTCTTCCTTATTAATTAGGACAACATCTTTTCCTTTTTTTATTTTTTTAGAGCCTTTCTTTAAATGAAACAAGCTCCAGCCTGTTTGCTTTTTTTCTGCAAATGATCCATAACAACATCTTGGAGATTGAGGGCAGGTAAATGAGTTTATGAAAAATAACATCAATCTCTGCTATTCTGCTCTGTCAACCGAAAATCTTTCAATTGGCACTAAGGATGTAACCTTCTTAACTAGCTTTTATTAGATGGGATATGTTACTTGACCTTATTTTGAAATGCAGTTGTCATTTAATTTAGGTTAGAATCTATAAAAGCATGAATTGTCTTGGAGTGGAAAATTTTTATTCACATAATAAATTCTGTTTCTTTCAAATGAAAATATACACATTTTTAAAACATCTTGCTGTTTCCTGTAAGTCAGAAACCACTTACAGTTAAAAATAAGTGAATAAATTGCAAAGGAAAGAGATCAAAAAAGCTTTATAAGATTTTGGAGATTCACAGTGGCTACTAGGAAGAAAGCAACATCAATACAGTTTTACTAATCTTATTTCAGTTTTCTAATGTGCAAAAATTACTTTCCTTCTTTTTAAGTTGGGCTTGTTTAGAAGGGCGCTGCGGTTGATGCATCGGTGGTCGATTTAGTGGGTCGTGAAGACCCGCTAAATCAACAGGCATTGCTCTCCTGTCGACTCCTGTATTCTGGATTGAGAAGAATAAGGGGAGTTGACGGGAGAGCATCTCTCGTCGACATCACGTAGTATGGATCCCGTGGTAAGTAGATCTAAGCTACCTCAACTTGAGTTATGCTATTCATGTAACTCAAATTAGATCAACTTTTCCTTGCAGTGTATACAAGGCCTAAGGAAACTATGCAGGGTGATACTGTGAGACAGAAGTTGATTGAAGTGAATGAATTTAATGTTGTCTTCTGTTTTCATACAGAATGGCCATGAATTTGTTCAATAAATAATTTAAGTTATATAATTTTAAATTAGTTTAATTTATCATTGGTATGGACATACATCATGATTTTAGTGGTGGGAATTTAAAATTGCAACGTTTGGTTATATATTTTCTTTTTAAAAATGGTACTATTACAATTTTCAGACTTTTTAGCAAGAGCTTAACATCTTATGTATTTTAATTTTATAATACTTACAAAGTTTGTTTGGAATTTGAGTTTTCTTTCTAAACTGGTATGAAAATTTCTTTTCTAAAATTTGTTTTAATTAACTAAGGTATCGCTGTCTTTTTTTAAATATAGTATTGAACATGCAGCATTTGTTCAGAGAAGCATTGATAATAATTATTATAAAAATATTTTTAAGCAATGAAAAATGTTTTAAGAGAACTAATTACTTCTCTACACATCCCTACATTTCCTAAAATAACCAGTAACTTGTTAGTGTGGATTTCAAGTCCTTTCACTTTTTAGTTAACAGTTGCTCCAAGAAGTCTAGATAGTGTTCAGACGTTACTCAATAGTTGTTATAAAGGTTTCTGTCATCCTCTATATTTCTAAATATTTATATTGTCACATTTTATTTGTCTGAAAAAATAAATTTTGTGGCTATAGAAGGTGACATAAGAGAAATGGTGTCTAATATTAAGCATATTTGTTTCTTGGATATATTGCTTACCTTTTCGTATGATTATAAAAATTGTAAATAAACCTCTCATGGCTAACTGAAGTTTCCTGTTGCCAGTTCTAATTTACATTCTGCTTATTTACTAGGTACTACTTACAGAGTTGTGGAATTCCGCAGGGCTCCATTTTATCAACTCTGCTTTGCAGTTTATGCTATGGAGACATGGAAAACAAATTATTCTGTGGAATACAGCGAGATGGGTAGGGTAATTTTTCTTTTTTTATACTTCGGTTTATTACTTCTATGGTGCTATGACTTTGCATATTTCTTTTCAGACTTTGTTAGATTTGAGAAATCTTTGCGGTAGTGGCATAACAAATACTGTACATTATAAAATAGGATATGCCAATTAAACTTTTTTTTTACTATACAAAAAGTTTATTTTTTCTGAGCTTCTCCCAATGCTTTACCTACAATGCTGCTTTAAGTGTTAGCCCCATTTCAAAGCAACAAAGATCCATTGTTTTGGGAGAAAATCATCAATTCTCAAGGAATTGTGAAATCTAATGGCCAATAATAATACAAATATCTAGCTGTTATATGGCAGTTTAGATCCCAAAGTGCATCACATCTTTAATATAGTTACTCTATCCAAAATGTCTTGCGTGTTTCAGATAAGGAATTCTAACCTGTCTCCCCTAAAAGCTGCATAAAATTATAGATTCGAATAAAACACAGTAAGGATGTTCAAACACACTAATTCAGAGTAATTAAAATCTTTATTGGAGTCCTTGAATACCATGCCAGTTTATAGCAGGTTCTTCACTAGTTTCGTTGATCACACTGCAATTGTGTGGAGCTTCATGATATGGTACAAAGGGGTTGGGAATTTACCTTACAAAAACATTAGAGTTTAAATATATAAAATTGCAGAAATTTAGGGAGTTCAATAAAAGCTAAACTTCTAGGAAAGCCTTGACATTTACCTTAGAGCTAGCTAAACTTCTTTCACTGTGCTGTACGTTGAGATTCCACCCTGCCATTTTCCATTATTTGCATATACAATATTCTAGATGAGCACCACACATTTGGTTTCATAATTTTTCATGCATGGTTGAGATACTAATTAAGATGATTTGGCAGCAAGCTAATTTTTGCTGTTTTCATGTAACAGCTCTAATTTCTTTATCTATGGATATGAGACTAGTATATAGGGGATATATTAGGTATGTTTCTGACACTTAAATAATTGACCTCCCCAAGGAATCTTAGGCCCTGACCTTGCTGCATGTTAAGTATTCTTGGTGTCTCACAGGACCAAGCCCTTACAAATTAATTTCCTTAAATACGTTATTTGTCTAATCAGGAATTTGTAAAATTCTTTTGTCTACTATTTATGAGGAGAACCAAATCCATAAAATGGCCCAACTACTATACCATTAATACTAAGGCATTTTAGTTCTTGTGGTCACTGATAAAATGAAACTGTTTATTGTGGATAGGTAAAATCATATGAGTTTCTGGTTTTCTGAGGGCCTCACTGTAGGGACAGAGTGAAGATAGTTTGACTGCCTCAACTGAATTTTCATACTTTCCAAAGTTTGGGGTTTCTCTAAATTTAATCTTATTTCTGAATTTTCCTGGGTTTCTAACTCTGTTGTTTTTAATATCAGTGTTCTCATTCTTGGAAATTGATACCCATTCAAACCACTGCAATATGCCTGCAGCCTTAACTCCACCATAATGAAAGTTTGTGCAGGAATTTCCTTAGAGTCTTTGTTCCACACCCCCATTCCCTTCTTGAGGTCTGCAGGAAGGGAGCTTCAATATTACGTCCTTCAAAGTCCTTATGAAGGGAGCCCAGCTCCTGTGGATCTTAGGAGGCTCTGCCTTGGTAAGTATATCAACTCTCTAAGTCTTAGGAAATTTGCCAGATACTCACCAACGCTACAGGTTTAGGAGGATTGTAAGATGTCCCCCAGTCTCTTCCCACAAGCATTATGGTTACCTGGCATGATCAGTCCTGGGAGGCTTGTGCCATCGCCCACATGTGAGATTTAGGAGGCTCTTTGAGCGCTTCCTGAAATCCTAGCCTCCATGAATGTAAAGAGATTTACTGCCCTCCCACACCCATGCACATACACCAACACCTGCTAGTCTTAAAATGCTTATCAGGGCCACAAACTTGCTGTGGGTCTTAGGAGGTTTGTGAGTTCCTACAATAAACCATAGCAGGGTCATGGTCCACCCCCTCCTGAATCTTAGAGTGGCCTTTGAGTGGCCCCCTAACACACATTTTACCCTGTGATCTTTAGGGGAGGCTCTTTGGTGGAAACCCCACACTTCAGGAGTCTTATTTGTTTAGGGGTCCTTCACTCCTGGCCTTAATAAGCTACTCAGCCCAGCTGACCCATAACAGGATCATTGAATCCCTAATGAGCCAAATTAGGGACATGGGTCATCATTGGGGTATATCTCCGCTCCCTTAGGTTTGCCCCTGCCATCTAGCCTCCATAATCTCCCTGTGGATTCTTTTCTCCTGTGAACCTTAAGAGACGCGCAGGAGTATCACTCCACCTGGGTAACTGCATCAGCCCATTGTTAAATATTAGGATGCCTACTTCAATGGCACAGAAGTGAGGAGGCTAGTAGACTTCTACCCATACCCGTTCTCCACAAGTATTAGTAACCTGCCAATACCCACTGCACAAGCCTCCTTAAGTCTTACAGGGGCCCCTGTAGGTTAATTAAAATGCCAATAAGTAGTTAAAGATTTATGTATTGATTGAGTGAGAACTGGGAGTTAAGCGCCTAGGTGCTTTTCAAGATCCCACTGTGCACCAATCTGCATCTCTAGGCATATAAATACCTTTAAAAATCTGGCCCTTTGGCTGAGATTTTCAAAGTAATCTGAAAGTGTTAGGGTGTCAGATTTCCACTGAATTTGAAAATCTCAGCCTTTTTAATGATGCAATTTAGTACTGGATTGACAGCGTTGGAAATCTGAAATCCTCTGTCTGCAGGAAATTACAGAACAGGCAGAAGATAAACATGCCTAAACTGGTCAGTCAGTCTTAATTTGTGCTTTTCTGTGGCCATGAGAAGTAAGTTGCTATGGTCATATATGAAATTCTGTTCCAGCTACCTGTATGTGACCCTGCATTATGGCAGACTACAATACAGATATGCTTTAGTTCCCAAGTTCACTAATTAAAGTTCATTATAGGAAAAAATAGCTAATTAAAAGTGTGTGTGTGTGTGTGTGTATATGTTTGTACACTTAGGCCTAGTTGCAACTAAAACTTAGGTCAACCTAGCTACGTCATACAGGGGAGTGAAAAATTCACACCCTGGAGAGATATAGCTAAGCTGACCTAAGCCCCAGTATAGACACCACTAGACTGACAAAAGAAATTCTTCCATTGACTTGGCTACTGCCTCTTGAGGGAGTGGGTTTACTACAGTGATGGAAAAATCCTTCCATTGCTGTAGCAAGTGTCAACATTGTGGTACTACAACTGCAGAGCTGCAGCTATCCCTCTGTAGTGTCTGAAGCGTAGACAAACACTTGGGGGAACAATGTAAGAATGGGGAAAATTCTCATTGAAATTTTATGTAGGCAATTTGGAGATCTTATTGCTCTCTTTCATTTTGTGAATAAAAACTGAATAAGTACACTAGTCCACAGCCATCCACTTTAGGAACAACATAGAAGAAAAGAATATTTCCAAATTAAACATAAATTTGTTTTAACTTTTTTTTTTTTTTTTTAAATTTCCAGAGTGCTGATACGGTTAATTGATGACTTTTTGCTACTTACACCTCACTTAACACTAGCGAAAACTTTTCTGAGGTATGCTGTTAAAGACCCAAGTTTAAAATAATAAGCATTCGTACATTTTGTTTGCATTACCTCCTGTATAGAAGCATATATATTTTGTTCATTGATTAATATTTAGGTTCTGATAAAATAAAATAATTTTGAAGGTTTTTTTTGTTTGTTTTTTTCAAGAAAATGTTTAAACTTCCTGTTCTGAAAAGGTGAGTGTCATGATAGATCACTGTTTGAGTCCATGCTCTGTTGTATTTGACTGGCAACAATCCTATAGTTAAGTACTTGGACACCAGCCAGTATCAAAATAGTATATGTCTGCCCCAGCTAGGATCTCTGGTGACCCCTACTGTCCCTAGTTTAAAGCCCCTTTCTACCTGCTGATGTTGATGGGGCTTCATGCTGCAGTTGTTAAGGTGGATTGGGCCGGAGCAGCTGACCATTGTCTATTTGATCATTTTCTCTCAGTCTTTAAAAGCTGTTCTGGATACATTAATAAAAAGTCCATACTAAGCAGTCATGACTGCTATCTTCAATTCTGGGGGAAAGGCTTTGACTCTTAGATGGTCTATCAGCACTAAACATTCTCTGATCTGAATGAGCTTGGGTGAGTATCTGAAAATACTCCTGGCCTCCCTGGTGGCAACAAAGATGTCCAATATGAAACTTCCTTGAAAGGACTCAAAGAACAATTATTTAAAATTCTTCAGAGTTATATTCTTCTGTTGGGTGCCAAGAGAGGCACCCAGATACCATGGAGATGAAAGCAGCATAAATAGCTGAGGGGGAGAAGGTGCCAAATGCCTTTTTGCAAGTCCAATGGGAAAAGTCTTGAAGGTTTATTTTAATGTTCTTAATGCAATCAGCTGTATCTTGCTCTTTGTGGCCAGTTAGACATTTTGAGGGGTTTGAAACCTGGTGGTGTCCAGTATCAATTAGAAGAAATGAACTTGAGCCTCTCTAAGTGCTGGTTGAGGCACTAGTGAAATAAGTCATACCACTAATGTGCTGTGAACACCCCTTGTTTTACTCCGCGGGGGGAAGGAGGGGATGTGTGGAAGGGGGAATTCTGCACCAAAAATAAAAATTTTGCATATAATGCTTTAAAATTCTGCATATTGTATATGTCAAAATAATGCAATTTAATCACGCCAGTTTCGATTATTTTGGTTATTTATTTAAACTACAATACTGTGGATGGAGAATGGGAGTGGGGAGCATTGGAGGAAATCCCCAAACCCCCTTTGTCTAATAATAATGTAGCTTTGTTCCTTTATTTCTAGTTATTAGTAAACAAATATATGCAGCCATATGCTCAGTGTTACATCATAGGCAATGAAGAGAAAGTGGGGGCTGGGGAACCAAACTCACAATTTATACTGGCTACTGACCATCTTCAGATGGTCAGTAGCAAACAGTTCATGGAGCACATTTTGATAGGAAAATTTTTCAATCCAAAAATTCCGACCAGTTCTAATCATTAAAGCACCATAAGCATTTATAAGGCCATACTGTCCTTTACACCACTCTGACAATGTAAATGAGTGTTAAAACTTTTACATCTGCTTTATGCTCCTGTGGGAATTCACTTAAGAATGGGAACAATTCACTAACAATAGTGGGAACAACTAAGCAGGCAGGCTGCTACATTATGCTCTGTGTGAGGGAACAGAGCCTGCCTCATGCCTACCTCCAAACACCCCAAACCCTGCACCTCCATGCTGGGCGCACTGCAATAGCGAGCGAGAGGGACAGAGTCTCTCTTAGCCCTGGTCTACACTACGAGTTTAGGTCGAATTTAGCAGCGTTAGGTCGATTTAACCCTGCACCCGTCCACACGACCAAGCCTGTTTTATCGACTTACAGGGCTCTTAAAATTGATTTCTGTACTCCTCCCCAGCGAGGGATTTAGTGCTAAAATTGACCTTGTTGGGTCGAATTTGGGGTAGTGTGGACGCAATTTGACGGTATTGGCTTCCGGGAGCTATCCCAAAGTGCTCCATTGTGACCGCTTTGGACAGCACTCTCAACTCAGATACACTGGCCAGGTAGACAGGAAAAGCCCCATGAACTTTTGAATTTCATTTCCTGTTTGGCCAGCGTGGCGAGCTGATCAGCACAGGTGACCATGCAGAGCTCATCAGCACAGGTGACCATGCAGTCCCAGAATCGCAAAAGAGCTCCAGCATGGACCGAACGGGAGGTCCTGGATCTGATCGCTGTTTGGGGAGAAGAATCCGTGCAGGCAGAACTCCGTTCCAAAAGATGAAATGCCAATATATATGCCAAAATCTCCAAGGGCATGATGGACAGAGGCTACAAGAGGGACACACAGCAGTGCTGCATGAAAGTTAAGGAGCTCAGGCAAGCCTATCAAAAAACAAAGGAGGCAAACAGTCACTCCTGGTCAGAGCCCCATACATGCCACTTCTATGATGAGCTGCATGCAATTCTAAGGTTGCCCCTACCACTACCCCATCACTGTCTGTGGACACCTGCAAGGGGAGAGTCTCACGCAACAGGGACTTTGTGGATCAGGAAGATGGGGAGGAGGTTGAGGATAGTGCACAGCAGGCAAGCGGAGAATCCTTTCTCCCCGGCAGCCAGGAACTGTTCATCACCCTGGAGCCAATACCCTCCCAACCCTCCCAAGGCGGGCTCCTGGACCATGAAACACCTCTGGTGAATGTACCTTTAAACAAAAGAAGTGAGAAGGCACCTCTGGTGAGTGTACCTTTGTAAATATAATACAGGGTTTAAAAGCAAGCGTGTTTAATGATTAATTTGCCCTGAAGACTTGGGATGCATTTGTGGCCAGTATAGCTACTGGAAAAGTCTGTTAAAAGTCTGTTAACGTGTCTGGGGATGGAGTGGAAATCCTCCAGGGACATGTCCATGAAGCTCTCCTGGAGGTATTCTAAAAGCTTTTGCAGAAGGTTTCTGGGGAGGGCAACCTTATTCCGTCCTCCATGGTAGGACACAAGCCAGTAACAAGTAGTCTGGAATCACTGCAGAACAAAGCATTGCAGCAAATGGGCCCAGGCTTTGGTGGCATTCAAGCAACATCCGTTCTTTATCTCTCTGTGTTAGCCTCAGGAGAGTGATATCATCCATGGTCATCTGGTTGAAATATGGGAAATTTGTTTAAGGGGACATTCAGAGGTGCCCGCTCCTGCTGGGCTGTTTGCTTTTGGCTGAAAAGAAATCATCCCCGCTATCAGCCACGCGGTGCGGGGAGGCCCGTTCATGCTGACTTGTTCACGTTTGGCTGACAGGGATCTTCCCTGATACTAGCCACGCGGTGGGGTGTGTGTGTGTGTGTGAACCAATCATCCCAGAGAATTGGGTGGTGGTGGTGGGGGTTGGGATGTGCAGCACATTCACCGTAAAACCGCAGCCCCTCCTTTTAAATGGCCAACCCAATGGGCTTTGCTTGGTATGGGAAAGGAGGGCGCTGCTGTTTGAAACCATTCTTGCATGTTATGAAGGTTGAAGAAGCCGAAACCCTTTGCCTTACCATGGCTGCCTGAAAACCGAATTCTGTTGCCGAGCCGAGCGTGTGTGATGTCTCACACCAAACCAGCAGGCACTCAATATAAGAGGCAAAATGCGACCTTGTACCAAAAGCACATGTGCTATGTAATGTGAATCGCTTGATTCAGTGTGAAATAGTCTTCCCTTTGTTCTCTAAAATGTATCTTTTAAAATACTACTCTCCCTTTTTTTCCTCCCGCAGCTGCAAATGTGTCTACACTCCCCCTATCATCTCCATCCCAGAGGCTAGCATGGAGTAGAGTGTGAAAAAAATGCACTCGCGAGGACATGTTCTCAGAGCTCATGCAGTCCTTCCGCACTGAAAGAGCTCAGCAGAATGCGTGGAGGAAAACAATGGCAGAGTCTAGTAAAGCGTTAAATGAACGCGATGAGAGGAGGGAGGAGCACGGTGAGAGGTGGCAGGATGCAATGCTGAGGCTAATGGGGGAGCAAACTGACATGCGCAGGCGTCTGGTGGAGCTGCAGGAAAGGCAGCAGGAGCACAGACTGCCTTTGCAGCTCCTGTATAAACGCCTGCCCTCCTTCCCAAGTTCCATCCACCACCCCACCCGGTGCTTTGCTCCTCACCCACCCCTCCCGGACTACCTTGCGAGTTTTCCCCCTATTTGTGTGTTGAATTAATAAAGAATGCATGATTTTGAAACAATAATGACTTTATTGCCTATGAAAGTGGTGATCGACGGGGGAGATGGGTTGGCTTACAGGGAAGTAGAGTCAACCAAGGGGGCAGGTTTTCATCAAGGAGAAACAAAGAGAGCTGTCACACCATAGCCTGGCCAGTCATGAAACTGGTTTTCAAAGCTTCTCTGATGCGCAGGGTGCCCAGCTGTGCTCTTCTAATTGCCCTGGTGTCTGGCTGCGCGTAATCAGCCACCAGGCGATTTGCCTCAACCTCCCACCCCGCCATAACGGTCTCCCCCTTACTCTCACAGATATTGTGGAGTACACAGCAAGCAGCAATACCAATGGGAATATTGGTTTCACTGAGGTCTAACCGAGTCAGTAAACTGCATCATTGAGCTTTTAAACGTCCAAAGGCACATTCTACCATCATTTTGCACTTGCTCAGCCTATAGTTGAACTGCTCCTTACTACTGTCCAGGATGCCTGTGTATGGCTTCATGAGACATGGCATTAAGGGGTAGGCTGGGTCCCCAAGGATATCTATAGACATTTCAACATCCCCAATGGTAATTTTCTGGTCTGGGAAGTAAGTTCCTTCCCGCAGCTGTTCAAACAGACCAAAAGGTGTGAGCGTTATGTGCCTTTCCCGGCCATCGCACTTTGATGTCAGTGAAACATCCCTTGTGATCCACCAGTGCTTGCAGCACCATTGAAAAGTACCCCTTGAGGTTTATGTACTGGCTGCCAAGGTGGTCCAGTCCGTCTATCGCCCCACCACGAGTATTAGCCTGCTAAACCCAGGGTTGTAAGTTCAATCCTTGAGGGGGCCACTTGGGGATCTG